CAGGCACAGTGGTTCATGCCTGTAATTCCAGCACTTTAGGAGGTCGACGTGGGCGGATCACCCTGAGGTCAGGAGTTCAAGACCAGCTTGGCCAACATAGCAAAACCTTGTCACTACTAAAAATAAAAAATTAGCCAGGCCTGGTGGCATGTGCCTGTAGTCCCAGCTACTCGGGAGGTTGAGGCAGGAGAGTCGCTTGAACCCGGTAGGTGAAGGTTGCAGTGAGCCAAGATCGTGCCACTGCACTCCAGCCTGGGTGACAAGAGTGAAATTCTGTCTCAAAGAAAAAAAAATCAAACCTTGGGCATGGTGGCACACGCCTGGAGCCCCAGCTACTCAGGAGACTGACGTGGGAGGATCGATTGAGCCCCTAGAGACAGAATCTCATTCAGGGCTGGTTTTGAACACCTAGACTCAAGTGATCCTCTGCCTCAGCCTCCCAGAGTGCTGGGATTACAGCCATAAGTCACTGCACCCAGCGCAGTGGTTTTAGAAGAAAAATATTAAGCAAAGAAAGTGGACAGGAGGAAAAATTATACTGACTCAAGTCTGGCAAGCTATGGGGTTGAATGGAGTTCTGGAATAGAGAGCCGGTGGCATGTGGGGGACTTCAGAGCAGTGAGATAGGAACCAGGTATTTTGGAAGGGGTGCTCGATGACCCTGTAGTTGACTTAATATCTCTGGGCCTCAGTTTCCTCACCTCCAAAATGGGGCAGGTGACGGTTGTGAGAATTCAGTGAGATCAAGTAGGTGGCGCGCTTGGCACAGGCACAGGCACCTCCTGATGCCCACAGATTCATTTTTAGGTTGTAGGGGGAGCTAAACGCATTGTGGTGCCCTGGATCAGGCCCTAAAACAGAAAAAGGGCATTGGTGGAAAATGAGGGAAATCTGAATATGTCCAGAGGGTGGTTCACGGTTATGACCAAAGTTAGCATCTGTTTGGGCATGGTCGGGTAAGATGCTAGCATTTGGGGAAGCTGGGTAAAGGGACACAGGACCTCTCCTTGCCATCTTTGTGACTCTTTTGTGAATCTGAAATTCTTCTTCTTGGCCAGGCGCGGTGGCTCCTGCCTGTAATCCCAGCACTCTGGGAGGCCTAGATGGGCGAATCGCTTAAGGTCAGGAATTTGAGAGCAGCCTGGCCAACATGGTGAAACCCTACCTCTACTTAAAAAACAAACAAACAAACAAAAAAATTAGCCAGGTATAGTGGCAGGTGCCTGTAGTCACAGCTACGCAGGAGGATGAGGCAGAAGAATTGCTTGAACCTGGGAGGAGGAGGTTGCAGTGAGCCGAGATCACACCACTGCACTCCCACCTGGGCCACAGAGCAAGACTCCGTTTCAAAAATAAAAGAAAAAAATTGCTCTTCGATTTCTTTTTGTAGAGACGGGGTCTCGCAGTGTTGCCCAGGCTAGTCTCGAGCTCCTGGCCTCAAGTCATCCTCCCGCTTCGGCTTCCCAAAGTGCTGGGGTTACAGGCATGAGCCACCACGCCCGGCTAGTGAATCTAAAATTATTCTAAAATAAAATGTTTATTTAGAAACATTCAAAGGGACGAGGGCAGAGTGTTATAGGTCTTTGGGGAAGGGAGGCGCTGAAACCAGCTTGGGAGATGAAAGGCTTCCTAGAGGAGAGGGAAGGCTGAGTTTTGGAGGAGCACAGGCACTGTTTACAGAAGGAGGGGTGCGGAGTCAAGCCCTTTCTCGCCACCTCCCAGGAACCTGGCCCAAAGCACGTGTCAGCCCTCAGAGAGACATCTCCCAGCCCCAGACTGGGTCCTGTCGTTGTCACACACTCAGGGTCCCCTCCCCATTTTCTTCTTGGCCTGATTGCAGCACTGTAATCAACTAGTTCCTGGCAGGAGTCAGGGCCAGCTTGATGGGTATGTCCTGTGCTGCGAAGGACCCATGGCCGGGCTTGGTGACTCACACCTGTAATCCCAGCATTTCGGAAGAATTGCTTGAATTCAGGAGTTTGAGGTCGGCCTGGGCAACATAGCAAGACCTTGCCTCTGTCAGAAAAACAAAAGCCCAGTGTGGTGGCATGTCCCTGTAGTCCCAGCTACTTGGGAGGCTGAGGCAAGAGGATCACTTGAACCAAGAGGTTGAGGCTGCAGGGAGCTATGATTGCACCACTGCAGTCCAGTCGGGGCAACAGAACCACACCCTGTCTCAAATAAGGGCCCCGCGCTTGGCTGAATGCTCTGCTGTTGCTGTTTTGAAACTCCTGATAACTTTTTTTTTTTTTTTTTTTGAGACGGAGTCTCACTCTGGCCTAGGCTGGAGTACGGTGGTGCCATCTTGGCTCATTGCAACATCTGCCTCCCAGGTTCAAGTGATTCTCCTGCCCCAACCTCCCAAGCAGCTGGGATTACAGGCATATGCCACCACTCCTGGCTAGTTTTTGTATTTTTAGTAGAGATGAGGTTTCATGATGTTGCCCAGGCTGGTCTCGAACTCCTGACCTCAAATGATCCACCCACCTCAGTCTCCAAAGTGCTGGAATTACAGGTGTGAGCCACTGTGCCTGGCTGCTGCTAATTTTTGAACAAAGGAAACTGCATTTTCATTTTCGGCTGGGCCCCGCAACAAATTATGTGGCCAGTCCTATGGGACGTGTGAGCTGTCTCCACTGCCAGACCATCACATTAGTCTCCTATGGCTGCTGTGGTGAATTTCTGCAATCAGCAGCTTAAAACAACTCACATTTGTTATCTTACAGTTTTGGAGGTCAGAAGTCTAAATTAGGTCCACAAGGCTTCATTCTTTCTGTTTATTTCGGGTTCTTTTGTTTGCTTTATTTTAGAGATAGGGACTCACTCTGTCACCCAGGCTGGAGTGCAGTGATGTGATCACCACTCAAAGCAGCCTCAACCTTCTGGGCAAAAGTGATCCTCCCACCTCTGCCTCCCAAGTAGCTGAGGCTACAGGGATGTGCTGCACGCAGAATAATTAAATGTTTGTTTGTTTGTTTGTTTTTCCATAAGAGCAGGGTCTCATTATGTTGCCCTGGCTGGTCTCGAACTCCTGGCCTCAAGCAGTCCTCCCACCTCAGCAGCCCGAAGTGCTGGGATTATAGGTGTGAGCCACGATGCCCAGCTGCTGCATTCTTTCTGGAGGCTCAGAAGAATCTGCTCCCATGCGCTTTTCAGCTTCCAGAGGCTACCTTCTCTCTTTGGCTTGTGGCCCCTTCCACTGTTTTCAAAGCCAGTGATGTATTAATAGCATCTTCTCTTCTCTCTGACCTCTGCTTCCATCCCTACCTCTTCTGACTCTGACCCTCTTGCCTCCCTGCTATAAGAACTCTTGTGATTATTTTGGGTGCACTTGGATAATCTAGTATAATCTCCTCATCTCAAAATGTCTTATTTAATCTCCTCTGCCAAGTCCCTTTTGCTACATATGGTGACATATTCACAGGTTCCTAAGATTAGGATGTATGCATCTTTGGGGGCTGTTGCTCAGCCAGCTGCAACCACAACCATGATAGCTGGGAGTACAGAGCTTCATCTGCTCACCACTGCATCTCCTGACCTGGCGTGGTGCCTGGCATACAGTAAATGCTCAATAAATAATTGTGTGCTAAGCAAATGCGTTCGCTGAGGCGTTGTGTATGGCTGGAGCACCTGGTGTGGCGAGCAGGGAGGGCAGGGGACTGGCTTCGCAGGGCCTGGAGAGTTGCTTTTCTGAGTTGGAGCTCAACTTATGGGTGGTGGGCAGTGGTCAGTGAGAAGCTGACCTTAAATGACAGAAACCCGGAGAGGTGCCAGCTCCTGGCCTTGGTGCACCTTGGCCTTTCCAAGTCTGCCCAGCGGGTGTTGAATGTCCTGGCTTCCTGAGGCAAGGGCACATGGGCCTTCCTTCCCATACCATCAGCTACTCTGCCTTTGGGGACTGGGGGTGGAAGCAGTGAAACAACCTGGGTATTGCAATCCACGCTCTGAGATGTGCTACAAAGGGAGTTGTGTCATCGCAGTGGGGACGCAGTGACCCAGTGACCTGGAGGTCATGCCCTAAGCCCCTGGCTCTGTCCTCAGACCGGCTGTGGGAATGGTTTCTCTTTTGGTTGCGGCAAATGCTGAGCACTGATTGCATACTAGGCACCGTGCATGCTAGGCACTGTGGCAAAGTCTGGGGATAGGGCAGTGACAAGAGACAAGGGGAGTGAGGGCCCTCAGTACTAAGAACAGGGCTGGGCATGGTGGCTCACACTTATAATCCCAACACTTTGGGAGACCCAGGTAGGAGGATTGCTTGAGGTCAGGAGTTCAAGACCAGCCTGGGCAACGTGGCAAGATCCCTATCTCTACAAAAAATACAGAATAAAAAATCCCGGTGTGGTGGCGTGAACCTGTAGTCCCAGTTACTTGGAAGACTGAGGTGGGAGGATTGCTTGAACCCAGGGGTTCAAGGCTGCAGTGAGCCATGATCACACCACTGCATTCCAGCCTGGGCAAGACAGTGAGACCCTGTTTCTAACAAGCAAACACACAAATGGAAACTGTGCCCTTTGACCCAGTAACCACGCTTTGGGCATCTTTCTGTAGACAGGAGACAGGTCAAAGCACCGCTGGTTGAGTGAAGGACTGGAAACAGCCTACATATCCATCACTGGGAAAGGGGTCAATGCCTTAAAATACTTTGAGGGTCATTGCCAGTGGGTAGTATTAGCAAGCTGCTAGAAAGAAGGAGATTGATGTTTCCACATTGTATTAGCCTGGGACGATGTGTATGGAATTTGCCCATTTCTGTAAAAATGCAAAAACCACATATATGCAGGTGGATGACTGTGCAGAGAGAAAGGTGCACAAGGGAAAATGGGCACTCGTTACCTCCTCTGGGGAATGTGGGGGTGGGGAAGGGGTCTGGGGGTTGCGAGGTTAGCGGGAAGGGGAAGAAAGAAACCTGGCTTTTTCTTTGTTCACCTCTCTGCTGTGTGGCTTGTTTCAAGGAACATACATTGCTTCTGTAGCTCAGAAGGAAAATCCAATACAACATATTTTTAGAAATGTACTGAGCTAGGCTTTGTGCTAAGAGTGTGCTGGCTGTGCTTGGAGCTGCTCTCAGCTCTTATAGACCCTCCGTGAGCACCATGAGGTGGGTGCTTTTGTCGCCTTGATTTCTTGCATGGGAAACTGAGGCTCAGAGAGGTTGAGTGACTTGCCCAAGGAAGCACAGCTGGCAAGCATCACAGCTGGTGCCTGTGGACGGGGAAGGGGAAGGTGGAGTCCCACGTCACAGTATCCAGTTACAGGTCGGGGCGGGGAGCAGCACAGAGGGCTGGTGATGAAGGAACAGCCTCAGCTAGCGGGGGTTGAGTGGCAGCTCCTCCGCTTGTGATGTCTGCTGAGTGAGTGTAGAGGCTCCCGCCCACGGAGGGAAGGGAACGGCCAGCTGTTCATATCTGATTGGGGCTTAACTTTCCCCAGCCTTCCCTTTCAATGTAGGGGGTGCAGTGGCTCACGCCTGTAATCCCAGCACTTTGGGAGGCTGAGGCACGAGGATTGCTTGAGCCTAGGAGTTCAAGACCAGCCTGGGCAACATAGTGAGACTCCCATCTCTACAAAAAAAAAAAAAAAAATTAGCTGGGCGTGGTGGTGTGTACCTGCAGTCCCAGTTACTCAGGAGGCTGAGGTCATAGGATCGCTTGAGCACAGGAGGTCAGGGCTGCAGTGAGCTGTGATCGCACTACTGCGCTTCAGCCTGGGCGACAGAGGGACTGTCTCAAAAAATAAATAAAAAAGTAAAAGAAGCCTTATGGGTCTGGCTTCCCTCTTCCCCCACCTTAACTCAGCCACAGGGTCCCGGTGCCCTCTGGTCTGTCCAAGGAAGGCCACACCAGAGAGGTGCAGTTTCTGTCAGGGCAGCGAGGGGGGCTCAGCTCCAGTGACAGCCGTCAGGTTCAATTTCTTTCCAGAGCCTCAGCAAATGACACTAGACATTTCCAGCACTAAGGGAGACTAAGATCACACATGAGAACCGTGCCAACAGGCTTACCTCCAGATGGGACAAAATCGGAACCTGGCTACCACTGAGCATGGCCGGAGACATGTAGCTACGGTTAGAAACCCTATGGGTAAGTGAGGTTTTGTCGTGACTACACTCATTCATTCAACAGATGTTTTGTGAGCTCCTGCTATGCCTCAGACATGTTGGAGACACTGCCCGTGGTGTGTGGAGGTGAATGAGAATAGAGTCTCTGGATCATGGCGCTTCTGTTCTGGGGTTGGGTGTGGGGGTCGGAAAAAACCGCCATGGTAATAAAGAAATGAGGATGTTGGCTTTTGAGTTGAGCTAGAAATGACCAGCAGGAGTCAATCCCGCAGAGACCTGGGAGAGATGCTGTTCCAGGCAGAAGGAATGGGACGTGCGAAGGACCAGGAGCAGGAAAGAGCTTGGTGTGTTTGAGGAATCAATGGGGCGCCAGCTTGGGGGCTCGGTGAGCTGGAGGAAAATGGCAGGTTGGGCTTGGGGATGCATTCAGGGCAGAGATTTGCGTACCTGGGACCAGGATGAGAGCTTCAGTGTTCGCGTAGTTTTCCAAGGGACACCCATTGAGGGTTGTAAGCAGAGGAATATGACGTGGTCTGGTTTTACCATAAAAGATCACTTTGGCTTCTGGACTGAGGTAGAATCAGGGCAGAGAGTTAAGATGCTGTTGGGGTGAGGAGGGAAATGGAAGCAGAGAAACTTGGTTGAACTCAGAATATTTCAGAGGTGGAGTCAATAGAATTGAATGTTGAGGTGTAGGAAAGAGAAGAATTTTGTGGATGACTCCTAGGGTTTTTAGTCTAGAGCAGTTGAGTGGAAGTCGAGTCATTGACTGGGAGAGGAGGGGGTGTTGGAGCTGAGTGTCAGAAGTTATACATTTTAGGCCAGGTGTGGTGGCTCATCCCAGCACTGTGGGAGGCCAAGGCAGGTAGATCACCTGAGGTCAGGAGTTTTAGACCAGCCTGGTCAACATGGTGAAATCCCATCCCTACTAAAAAGACAAAAATAAGCTGGGCGTGGTGGCGGGTTCCTGTAATCCCAGCTACTTGGAAGGCTGAGGTAGGAGAATCGCGTGAACCTGGCAGGCAAAAGTTGCAGTGAGCCAAGATTGTGCCATTGTACTCCAGCCTGGGCGACAAGAGCAAAAATTAGCCGGGTGTGGTGGTGGGCCCCTGCAATCCCAGTTACTTGGGACCTGAGGCAGGAGAATCACTTGAACCCGGAGGCAGACGTTGCAGTGAGCTGAGATTGTACCATCGCACTCCAGCCTGGGCGACAGAGTGAGACCCCATCTCAAAAAAAAAAAAAAGTCTGGTAACAGGAGGGCTGAGATGGGAGAAGAGACAGCCACTGAAGTACAGGAAAGATGTCCTGGAGGACTCCATGAAGGTAGAACTTACTTCTTGGCTGGGTATGGTAGTTCATGTCTGTAATCTCAGCACTTTGGGAGGCTGAGGTGGGAGGATTGCTTGAGGCCAGGAGTTCCAGACTACCCTGGAAAACATGGTGAGACCCCATCTCCATTATTTTTAAAGGAAAAAAAAAAAATCTTACTTTCGCTTGCTCAAACCAGGAATATATGAGTCATTTCTATTGGTGGCAGGCATTGCTGGTGACCGAGATGTATCCCATCAACCTATCCCTGGCCTGGCTTCCAACTTTGGCACTTGCATTTCTTTGCCTGAGGACATCTTCTGACTTCTGGAGCTCATTCTACCCTTTCACATAGCAGGAGAGAACACATTGATATAGTTTGGCTGTGTCCCCACCCAAATCCCATCTTGAATTCCCATCTGTTGTGGGAGGAACCCAGTGGGAGGTAATTGAATCATGTGGGCTAGTCTTTCTTTTCCTGTTCTCATGATAGTGAATAAGTCTCACGAGATCTAATGATTTTATAAGGAGGAGTTACCCTGCACAAGCTCTCCCTTTGCCTGCTGCCATCCATGTAAGATGTGACTTGCTCCTCCTTGCCTTCCACCATGATTGTGAAGCTTCCCCAGCCACATGGAACTATAAGTCCATTAAATCTCTTTTTTTCTTTTTCTTTTTATAAATTACCCAGTCTCAGGTATGACTTTATCAGCAGCATGAAAACAGACTAATACAGACATATTAACACTTCCTGGGAGCAGCCTTCAACCAATAACTGGTGAGGTCTGGAGTATAAATACCCCAGCTCTCTTGCCTCTCAGATGAGAACAGGGTATGTTCAACATTATCTCCCAAAGTTCCTGAGTGAGACTGAGCTGCAGTTGCCCACAGAGGTAACTCATTTTGTAACACGCCCCTGTGGGAGGGCTTCCTTTCTTGTTTCTCTTTCCCACTTCCTATCTGTGCTTCCTCAAGTCCCCCTTTTTGGTTTTTTTTTTGTTTGTTTTTTTTTTAAAGGACACGGGAGTTTTGCTCTTGCCCAGGCTGGAGTGCAATGGCGCAGTGTCGGCTCACTGCAATCTCTATCTCCCGGGTTCAAACGATTCTCCTGCCTCAGCCTCCCAAGTAGCTGGGATTACAGGTGCACACCACCATGCCTGGCTAATTTTTTATGTTTAGTAGAGATGGGGTTTCACCATGTTGGTCAGGCTGGTCTCAAACTCCTGCCCTCAGGTGATCCACCCACCTCAGCCTCCCAAAGTGCTGGGATTACAGACGTGAGCCACCGTGCCCGGCCCTCAAGTCCCTTCTTATGTAAATGATTTCTACCACTCAAGTCCTTGTTTTATAGTCCACTTCTGGGAGAGATCAAGCTAATTTCTAATACTCTTTTCACCCTCTAATCCAATCTCTAAGTCCTATCAATTCTTCCAAAATACATCTCAAATTAATGTGTTTCTCAAGTCCACAGTCATTGCCCTGGCCCAAGCCATCACCATCTCTGACCTAAGTAATTGCACCAACAGTTTGATTAATGTTCCTCCTTTCATTCTTGCTTCTCTTCGATCTGTTGTCCATACAGCAGAGATATCTGTTAAAATCTAAGTAAAATAGGCCAGGCATGGTGGCTCACACCTGTAATCCCAGCCCTCTGGGAAACTGAGGCAGGAGGATCACATGAGGCCATGAGTTTAAGACCAGCCTGGGCAACATAGTAAGACCCCATCTCTAAAAAAAGTTAGCCAGGCCTGGTGACACACATTTGTAGTTCCAGCTACTTGGAAGGCTGAGGTTGGAGGATCCTTTGAGCTCAGGTGTTTGAGGTTGCAGTGAGCTATGATTGTACTACTGTACTCCATCCAATTAATCAAACCCACTCAATCAAAAATCAATTTAAAAAGTAAAAAGTAAATACAAATAAAAATAAAGAAAATAAATGAAAAAGAAAATCATGTTACTCTTCTGGTCAAAACTTCCCATTACTTTCCCAACACACTAGGAGAAAATTCCCAACTCTTTCATGTAACCTCCAAGGCTGGCATGATCTGGCCTGGCCCACCCTTCCTTACACCTTTGTCTTAACTCATTTTCCTCCCTACTCGCTCTGCTGCAGCCAGACCTAGAAATCTGTCTGTTCTTCCTTGGGGACATGGCCTGTGCAGTTCCTTTTACCCAGATACTTTTCCTGCAACTCTTTGTATGTTTCATTCTTGTAGACCCAGCTTAAACATTGTCTTCTTAGAGCAATCTTTCCCAATCACATGATCTAAGGTTATTCTACTCATAATTTTCTCTCCTCAGTACCTATTGGTTTCTTTCTCAAGACTCTGCGTATTTTGTAATTGTTTGGTTATTGATTTAATTTTGTCTGTCTTATTCCTGAAATGTCAAGTTTCATGAGATCACAGACCGTGTCTGTTGCTCGCTGCCACATGCCTCACACCTTGTATGGTGACTGTCACATGGTAGGTGTGCAGCAATTGCTTGTTGTATACATAAAACATTGACGTTAATGTCTAGGGAACCCACCCCTGGGACATACCTCCCTTCACATGGATGACTTGGCAGGGTATTTGTTGGTACTCAGGGACACTGTCCCCTTCATCTCTGTGACCACAGTCTCTGCCTCTGAGAGGCCCAGATCCTAGGATGGGAGACCTGGGTTAAAATCATGACTTGGCCTCTTATAATGTGTTTGTTCGTCTTTGCTGCATAACAAACAGTCTCCAAAATGTAGTGACTTAAAAGAATAACTTATGGTTCTACAAAAGTTAGCTGGGTGTGGTGGCGGGCACCTGTAATCCCAGCTACTCAGGAGGCTGAGGCAGGAGAATCGCTTGAACCCGGGAGGTGGAGGTTGCAGTGAGCCAAGATTGCGCCATGGCTCTCCAGCCTGGGTGACAGAATGAGATGCTGTCTCAAAATAATAATAATAATAATAATTTATTTTTCAGGCTGGCTGCTTCCTCTGACTTCACTCATGGCCTGCAGTCAGCTGGGGTTACTGGGCTAGAGGGTCCAAGATGGCCTCCCTCACATGTGTAGCCATTGGCTCTGGCTGTTGGCTGGGTTGCCTCAGTTCTCCTTCATGTGACCTTTCGCCTTCCAACAGGAAAGACCAGCTTCCTTACATGGAAGCTTTGGGTAAGCGTTCCAAACCAGTTCACACAGAAGCTTCGAGGCTTCCTGAAGCCTGTTCTCAGGACTTGCACAACACTACCTCTGGCATATTCTATCAGTTGAAGTAAGTCAACAGGGCAGCCTATATTTAGGGGAATGGAGAAATAGACTTCTCCTTGTGAGAGGAGCCACAGAGAATTTCTGGTCATATTTAATCTACCACAGTAGGCTGTGAAGTCTGGGGCCAGCCACTTACCCTCTTGGTGCCTTACTTTCTTCTTCCGTAAACTGGGTCTTTTGGCATCTATTTCATAGAATTGTTTGTGAAAATTAAACAGATGATGCATCCAAAGTGCTTAGTGTAGAAACCTGTTTCTTAGAAAGTACCTAGTGGATGGGAACCACTGCTATTATTGCTGTTAATAATATTACTGCCATAATTATATTGAGAACTTAGCAAATTGATGGATGGATAGATGGGTGGGTAGATAGGTAGGTAGATGGATGGATAGGTTGGGTGGATGGATGGATGGGTAGGGAGGTGGGTGGATGGATGGATGGGTTTGGGGGTGGATGGATGGACGAATGGAT